TCTACTATACACCTGGGAATTCTGATCATTCACATGAACTTATAGGCCCATTGTCTGCCAACCCTATATATGATCTTGGATACACTCTCCATTTAGACATACCTAATTGTTTAGCTTGTTCACCTATCTATCCTCCTTTCCCACTCTTGTGTCATGCTTAGCCAACCACCCACTGGATGGACAGCTCCTTGGACAAGGTGACCTGAGTTAGAGTTTTCAGGAGTCCAGCCATGCATTCCACTGAGAAATTAGGTTTGTCCTAGGGTTCAATTACCAAAAGGCACAAGATCCAGGAAGCATGGCTCTGAGAACAGGGAGATGGCCTGATAATGGCTTACACTTACATTGTGTTGCTCTGTGCCAGGCGCTGTGCTAAGACCTTATGTGTAGTAACTCATTTAACATCCTACGAAACCTGTAAAGTGGGGCTATCTGGGTGGTACAATGGTTGACTTATTTGGCTGCTGACTGAAAGGTTGGAGGTTCGAGTCCACCCAGAAGCACCTCAGAAGAAAGGCCTGGTGATCTAATTCTGAAAATTCAGCCACTGAAACCCTATGTAGCGCAGTTCTATTTCAACATTCACGGATCACTGTGAGTTGAAATTAATTCAGCAGAAACTGGTTTTCATCTAGGTACTTGCATTATCCACATGTTGGGGAGCTCTGATGGTATAGTGTTTAAAGCATTCAGCTCCTGGCCATAAGGTCACCAGTTCGAACCTACCAGCTACTCCGTGGGAGAAAACTGAGGCAGTCTGCTTCCATAAAGATTTACAGCCTTGGAACCCTGTGGGGCAATTCTACTCTGTTCTATCAGGTCACTATGAGTTGACTCAATGGCAGTAGGTTTTTTGTTTGTTTGTTTGTGATAGATCACAAAAGGTGAAGTGACGTCCCCAAGGTGACAGAGCTAGGAAGTGGCACAGCCAGGACCTAAACCTAAAACCTAGGTTCTTGACCACTCTGTCTTTGGTAATTGTATGTCTCATAGAAGTAATAATAAAAAGTAAAATAATAATAATAAAATAACTTTGATATGTTGCATACTTGTGTCAGGAACTATACAGCCTTCTTGGGTTAGCGAAAACCCAACCTGGTTTCTGCAGATACATGGGCCTCCCTGAGTGGAAGTCTCCATCCTTACAGATTGCAAAGGGGATCTTAGACTGTTCACAGAGTTAGCATTTTCCATTACTCTAAATCCAGGCTCTCTATTTAACACATCATTAATGACTGCTTCTCTGGCTCAAGGAGCTCTGGTAGTACAGTGCCTAAAGCATCTGACCGCTAACCAGAAGGTTGGTGGTTCAAACACACTAGGCACTCCGCAGAAGGAAGACTGGGCAATCTACTTCTGTAAAGATTTACTGCCTCGGAAACCCAATGGGGGTCGCTATGAGTCAGAATCAACTCGATGGCAAGGTTTTTTTTTTTAATTTTATTTTATCCTCTGGCTCAAGGATGCTGGTACAGGCTGAATGCTCAGAGCAGAGCTGTTGAGTGCTAGAAAACCAAAGGTTTTGTGTAAATAAGGATATTTGCTAATCATCACTAGCCACACCCAGTTACGTTTAAAAGTAGATGATGGGCAAGAGAATTTGGATAACTCTCAACAGAGCGAAGCCACCACACCATATCCTTTTGTTGACTTTGGCCTCGTTTCCCTGAGATTATCATTACTGGATCAGCTTTGAAACAGAGATATTTTCCCCCTCTTTACAGGAAGTGTAATTCACATTCTGGCCCCTGCTCAGCCATACACAACGTCCTCAGCGAGGCCTCATTTACTCTTTCCGAAGCGGAAGGGAAGCCAGGACAGACTTGGGTCTCAGGGAGGGCACTTGAT